TCGGAAACTTTTATATTTGTGAAATAACCACGATCTAGTTAAGGAATTGACTATCTCATTCTCACTCCTGACACTTGCTGACGTAACATATATTCAAGCTACAAAACATTTCCTTAATTATAAGAAATCTCAAGTAGATTCAATTGCGCGAATGCCACATCATCAGAAGTATGTGTTTATGGCTACTCAATAAACGATAATATCAGGTGTTTGCAAATATGTGAGTACCAACCAGGATGTCAGAAATTTCAACACGATTCAAAAATAGAGCACGCATACGAGAATATGTACTCTCCGATATCCTTTGATGATCAATATCATGTGATAATTACTACTAATAGGAAACTGTTGGAATGTTCTGTAAATTCTTTGATGTATATTTATCTTGACTGTTTAATGTTCCAGTTTATGGCTCGGTCGAGGAATGCATCACACCCAAGCGAGAACAGATGAACTTAACATGTCCTCCCGGTCACGTGATTTATAAACCGGAAATGAAGGTTGGCGTGAGCACAGATGGGAGATGTTCGTACCGTCCTGGAGATTGCCTTGGCATGACCCACACGTTCCTCACTCAGAAGTATGTCTGTTATTGGAAAAACTCCTGTGAGTTTGTGTGGAGGACCGGCGTCCCCATCACGATGTCGCGGGCTCTCAGGTGCCTGTCTCTCCCGCCAAAATACGTCTCCTTCTCAGGGTACAGCTGTATTGAAGAAGGTCCGTATATGTTCAGTACAGTGGAGTGAACGAAATAAAGAGTGAGTGAGTGAATGAGTGAGTGGTTCACATCTTTTCTGAAAACTAGCGAATAGACTATGCTACTGACAACATAATCAGGATTCGATCACAGGTGTCTGACACGACAAAGGGAGACAAATCTGTGATGCGATATGAGGGGGCATTCCCCAGTTGCATGTTATTGCGCACAAAATGAATGTTTATAACTTTAGGAGGACAAAACAATGGGTTAATGTTTAATGTTTAAAACCAATGTCTCGAACTATCATATCATCACCATCATCATCAAATTTGTGTGTATCATATGTTAATTTCGGATTACGTTTTCTCAGAGAAGTACATGTTCTGGTACTTTTGTTCGGCTGAGTCCCATCCGGGATTCGAATCCTCACTCTCAGAGTCCATCTTCTAATCACAACACACAAAGGCTAAACCACTCAGCCACCTCTGCTTCCACAAAATAGAAGTCGAACAACTGGTATAGTCTGTTTCCAGTGGAAACGTACCGATGAATTTCACTTTGAACAAAAATGTAAATCAAATCAAGTGAAATTAACATTGCGAATCTTCATAATTTTACCTTGCCAATTGAACTTTTAAATCTCAGATTCATATTAAACTTAGGATAAAAGTTGTTTAAGAAACGATCATAGCTTCAAATCGCTATTATTGGTTTGTATTACAAGGGGGTACGCGCAGTAGTTGGAACGTGCGGTACGTAATGAGCGTTAACTTAGACTACCGTAGAAACCAACCCTACTTGTTCTCGGGGTTTCATTTAATGTGCATACACCCTTGTAATACAAACCAATAATAGCGATTTGAAACTATGATCGTTTGTTAAACAACCTTTATCCTAAGTTGAATAACATTCTGAGGTTTTAATGTTCACTATTTGATTTACTCTTTTGTTTAAAGTGAAATTCATTGGTACGTTTTCACTGCGAATAGACTTTAGTGTAGATTACGTACTTTGCGTACCCCTCTGACAAGTGTGAATTGGCACGGCACGGTGAACACACAATGACATTTAGAAAGTGGTCAAATGTAACATATGGTATATTTGGGAATACACTTTCAGTAAAGATCGCTTACGATCGCTGACTTTGTTTGCTCGCGTTTTTCCCGTCTCATAACGTGAGGGTTCCAATCCCGGATGGGACTCACCAGAATCTGTACCCTGCTGAGAAAATGTAATCCCAAATTAACAAACGTTACATCTGACCACTTTCTAAAGTCATTGTGTAGTAGATTTTGTGTATGTGAATGTGTGTATATATATATTATTTTAACATCCTTATTTTTCAGATAAGGTTGTTGAGCTATGTGACAAAGATAGTGTATTATTCAACAAAACCCAAGGTGTGATTAAAAGTCATGCCAACTACCCCTGGCATTATAATGTGGCAAAAACATCATGCCGGAAGAGGATCCGTGTCCCGAGAAATGGCAAACTGCGCTTGCGCACTCAAGACATCGACCTTGACCCTGATACAAAGGGCGATAACATTAAGATATATCATATAAAAGGCCACAAGACCCTGAGGAAAACGTTACGAGGAAGTAGTAAGATGGATGAAACATTTGCTGGCGGATGTGTGGAGATAGCGTTTCGTGTGGCGCCACAGTCCAAATCCGGGAGAGGATTTGTTTTGCAGTTTGAGAGTAAGTATCATTCACATGCACGGAGCCGAACGTAAGGGTTAGTTAACGATGACGTCGACACATTACGTCATAGTGACGTCAAAACAGTCAATAAAAAGACAATAGACCCCAGTACTATTGCAATGTTATGAAGAAAAGCCTTTAAATGAATGGATTAATAATTTTATTGCTGTCCCTCCAACAAGTTGGTGCTGTTGGTGTTAGTTGTATTCCACTAGAGCAATATTTGGCACAATCAAGTCGAAGGACAGCATACGTGGGAAACAAATGCAGAGATTCAAACTGGGTTTTCTGCATAACGAGCTAACGCCTTTTCCACTATCCTATTAATGGTTGTGAAAATAGGTCAGTCTGTTTAACTCTTGAAATGAATAAAAGTTAATTTTTTAGTTAGTTTTATATTAAGGCTATCTTTTTAATAATACAAAATGTTCAAAACAGATAAAAAGAATCAGTCTTCACTATCCCCACTGTGTTATAGTAAGTGAGTAAGTGAGTTATAGTTTTACGCCGCTTTTAGCAATATTCCAGCAATATCACGGCGGGGGGCACCAGAAATGGGCTTCACACATTGTACCCATGTGGGTAATCGAACCCGGGTCTTCGGCGTGACGAGCGAACGCTTCAACCACTAGGCTACCCCACCTCCCTCACTATGTTATAGAGGCATGCAGGTTCAATACTAAATTCTTAACAGTGTAGTAATATTATTTTCTAAATACGGCAATCTTATGATAACATAGTAAATTATGTAAGCGTAAATTAATATTTTATCATCTAATGGAGGGTGTTATCGGTGCAATGAAGCAATCTGATGAACATGGTATAAACATGTAAATTAGGTCAATACACGAACTACTTGCACAAAACACCATACACGCCATGCGAATCCTAAAACGTTAACATTTCATTGATGACGTCGTCGAGAGCTTACAGGGCTTACATTGAGTCGGCGAACATGGTGCGTGAACGACCTTCGCCCAGGGCTCGTATAATACAATTTTATCTCAATAATAGAATCAATTATACGGAAACACACGCAGTTAATAATATCTATCCATTAAATGGGACAAGACTTACGCTGAAGACCCGGGTTCGATTCCCCACATGGGTACAATGTTGGAAGCCGATTTCTGGTGTCCATGATATTGCTAGAATATTGCTAAATGTGACGTAAAACCCAACTCACTCACTCATTAACTGAGATTTTTTCCCGCGGCTTCATCAGTTCCTAAAAGTGATGGATTGACATGAAAAACGTCGTTAAAGATCTCCTGATTCATAACATACACACTCATACCACCAGATAAGTGGAAACGTTTTGTGTATCGCAGAACAACATATTGTACCCTGGTGAAATTTCCTAATACGACATTGGTGTTTTTTAGCGGATGTTCAAAATGCAGCTGAGGTGGATTACGATGACTGCTCAAAGAAATCTCACAGGTCTGCAGGCAAGAAAAGGAAGAAAGGAAAACGTGGACGCAAACAAAGAAGACGAGGTAAGTGCCACTCTAAACATGATAAACCATCAACAGTCTTAATAACATCTCGAAACAGATTCCGTTTGGCTTGAAACGTATCACTGCTGTGAAAATGGTATGAATGGATGACTGGCAGGGGCGGATACAGCTTTTTGAGAAGGGGGGGGGGTGGGGGTGGTGAGGGGTGCACACTATTGAGAAAAGGAGGGGTTGCACACTTTTTTTCACCCGAGTTTCAATGGTCATTTACAACACCCGTGTACACGAATAAACCACCTTTATTCTTATGTGAAACAAAATAAAGTTTTTAATTAGTCAATATACATGTATGAAAATATGTACTCATTTTTCTTACAATGAAATGTTAACCCTCCATATAAGTACTGACATGTTATGCCATTATGAGGCCTTTGTTTGCCGAGCTAAACGGGTCAGAGTTACCGCCCTTTGATTATGATGTAACGGGTGCCAATTGATTTAGACTAGTATCCTGTCTAGTCCCAAAGCAAAAGATATACATACTGACATCAAACACCTGATAAAAAATACGCATAGGACTAAAATTGTATGCAGTAAGATAGAAATGATAGTGACCATTCATTCATAAATCGTGTCTATGAGTCGAGAAAAGAAAGTGATTGTTGTGGTAGTTATTCCTAACAAGTAAATGACCAGATGCTTTAGGTACACCAATACATTTATATGCAGTGTTGTTTTTCATTTTCAGGACAAAAAAAGAGACGTAAAGGAAAGAATAGCAGAAAATCTTTTAAAAAGAGGCGAAATGCTCGAAGGGGGAGGAAAAGGAGTAGGATGTAATGTTTACAACATGCTCCAGAAAATCATATCTTTTACTGCCGTTTGATACCTTTCTGGGTGATGATCTGATGGCATTTCATACGAGGTCGTTTCCAGTGAACTGTGCGAACTTTGACCGCCTAATCCTTATGAAGATTGTGTGGGTTCTATAACCAATCAAATGACAGTTTTTTTAACGGTTTGATTTGGAAACGTCGATTTATACAAATGAAACTACTCTGAGTTTGGGAAAGAGTGAGTGAGTGAGTTTAGTTTTACGCCGCACTCAGCAATATCCCAGCTATATGGCGGCGGTCTGTAAAGAATCGAGTCTGGACCAGACAATCCAGTGATCAACAGCATGAGCATCGATCTGCGCAATTGGGAACCGATGACATGTGTCAACCAAGTCAGCGAAACTGACCACCCGATCCCGTTAGTCGCCTCTTACGACAAGCATAGGCGCCTTTTATGGCAAGCACATGGGTTGCTGAAGACCTATTCTACCCCGGATCTTCACGGGTCGTTTGGGAAAGACGCACGGCCCGTAGAAACGACCGGTGTATTAAATAAATACCCACATTATTTCACGACCTTCCGTAACTAGATTCGGAACTTGTCGTGTTTTGTTCCATTTCGAGCTAACAAAACCAGAAAAGCTCGTCTGAAAGTTTCACTCACTCGTTTCGCACGCTGATGCAGAAGCAAGTTGATCACTTGGAAAGTTCACCAAACACAACTTCCTATGGAGGCGACCACAGATCTACAGGCAGAGAGATAGAGATTGACGTAAAACATCTGAGCCTAGCATTTTCCATCACTTTAGTCTTGAAGAATTCAAACTACATTTCAATCATGTTTCGTATTTCTTAAATATATAAGAACATTCATTAAGCACCACCAACCGTTTCGGATATGTCACATCCAGAAGTTCACTGGTGTGATTAATTGTTTGAAAGACGTTAGAAGAGTTGGAGACTGAACACCTGGCACTACCATCATAGAGATGATGAAGCTGTCACTAGACACAGGTGTACATGCAATATGGGGTTACCTCTCACAGCGTTCATCTCAACAAAGCTGTAAAGTATCAGAACCCTACCCAGGCCAGCAGTCCTGCCGGATTATGCTGTGACAAACTCAGGAATCACCACTGAGTTTCTGAAGTATCCATCCCTCTCATTGATGACATTCGAGAGGCATCTCTTTCTGGTGCTAATCGGAACAATCTGATTTTAACACCTTCATCATCTGCCTTACCTGGTACAGTGTCTGGGTCTGTTCATTCCGGTTTAGAACCGGTGGGTCTCCAGCTGTCACGTAGGAGCAGTGCATTTTTGCAAGTAGAGTTCCATTGTTTGTCAATATGCATGGGTCCCGATCCACAAGGCGTTCCTAGCGTTACGACATCCGTAAGTCTATGGTAAAGTGTACAGTTACGACATCCGTAAGTCTATGGTAAAGTGTACAGTTACGACATCCGTAAGTCTATCGTAAAGTGTACAGTTACGACATCCGTAAGTATATGGTAAACTGTACTGTTACGACATCTATAAATATATGGTAAATTGTTCAGTTACGACATCTGTAAGTCTATGGTAAACTGTACTGTTACGACGGGCCGTAAAGCTGTGAATGCTTTGTGAATCGGAACTGGATTTGGAATCAGATGGTTCATTAGTTATACTCGTGTGTGTATAAATATTTGTGCATTTTATTTGTTAGATTGTTATGTCATTTACAAGTCAGGACTGTTAGGGGATCGGTCATGCCATTTATAAGATGGATGTATCCCTAACTTAGTGCAGATTGTAGATGAAACCCGTTCTGTTTACCAGATGCTACTCCGAACATGAGTTATATGTATCTCTTTCGAGATGTTACGTATGTCTCTGTGACATTTTGTTTATCAGCAAATTATTATTTTTTTATTTTATGTTTTGTTGCATTTATCAACATTTTACAAAACAGATAACAACATCGATGTTTGTACATGTTGGACAGCTGTAGAGTGGGAACGTTAGTATAGTTGTTATCAAAATGGAGCATAGCATGACGAAGAATGTATGGAAGCCATCAGTATGTAAAGAGGAACATTTGGTGATCATGTTGTAGCATACTGATCATGTACGTCATTCTGAATAGTATAGAATGGTGACATATTATTTTCAAGCCTAATTTAATAATCACATTATGTTGATTTGGTCGTTATTTTGCCTAGGATAACCAAATTAAATAGTACATTTCTCTCTGTAATAAAAAAAATACTGATCTGGGAAATTTTAAAAAATACAAGAATATATATAAGTTAGATAAATAAAAACAGAATACCTTTTTCTCCAATATATATATATATATATATATACATATTTTTCAAGTAATTTCCTCATAACGTTTACCTTACTGCAAGCCCAGAATATATGGGTCCTTATCATTCCCCATGCAACAGCTGCAGCTGATATCAGCATAGCCCATTTTTGACAGGGAAAGGTATTTGATAAGGTAGGGTGTAGTATTTTGCATTGCAGCCATTAAGGTATCTTTTAGGAAGGGAATTACAGCAAAACTTTGCCAATCATTATATATGGTATCATTCCATGAGGTAATGTGTCATTTTGTCGAGTGTTCATTTCTTTAGCTAACACACTCATCAACATTTTATGGCGATATTGAATACTTGTTGAAAATATTATAATAAATTTGTTTATGTGGGTGGTGGAGGTGGATTCGGTTGGATAGTTTGGATATGTTATCTGAATCTGTGTTTACTTGCAGAAAATATTGTTTCACTGAGCTGACCACGCCCATGTATCGAATATGTCCTCGTCACTGACAAATTACAGTTACATACCAAACCAGACACTCAGGGTAATGCTTGTGCCAAGCCAAATGAGGAAAGATAGGTATCTTAGAAGAAACAAGCAAGCTTGTGTCTGAGTTGAAAAAGCAATTGTTATGCATATTAATTCTGTTAGTGAGGTTGATATTAGGAGTGGGCTGTGTTGGACTTATGATCAAGTGGTTAAAGTTACGTTTATGTGTATTAAAATCAGACAATAATTATTCCAGGATTGGCCATTGTAGCAAACATACATCCCATTTTGGTATTCCTATATGAGCATAATTATCAATAACTGACCTTATCCTCCCAGTTATAGTATACGATGCTAGATGAAATGTACCGTCAATTTTCCAAAAACATTGCCGTACGTTGTTACCTCTTTGTATACTACTTGATATGGAAAGTGTTCCTCTGAAGTATGCCATAATCATTGAACTTAATCTGCTTTATCCACTGATACCAAAGTCTCTTACCAAGTTTTTGGACTTAGCAGATAATGTTTCGTAGATAATGTGGTATACAAGATTTTAACTTCAACCTGAATTTCCTGAATTTCACAATTTCGAATGAACTAAGTTTCGTGAATCTAGAACTAAACATATTTTTGCTTCAGCACTCATAACAAGGCCTTGGTGTTTTATCTCCTGCGTTTCTTCAGGATTTTCGTTTCATACTTCTTGCCTCAGTATAGATACGTTTTGTCGCCTGTCAATTTCGCTTTATTATTATTTTTGATAGTTGTTTTCGTCTGTTTTTTTACGGAGTGTTTCCTTGAGTCTCTTCTCACCTTTAGGGGCGGTGGGGTAGTCTAGTGGTTAAAGCGTTGGCTCGTCACGCCGAAGAACCGGGTTCGAATCCCCACATGGGTTCAACGAGTGAAGCCCATTTCTGGTGTCCCCCGTCGTGATATTGCTGGAATATTGCTAAAAGCGGCGTAAAACCAAACTCAGTCAGTCAGTCTCACCTTTAATAATATTTGTATCTAAACACAGCTGATCGTCAATCCTAAATTCATTCACGTTTTGGTCATCTGTTGTGCATTCGTATTCAGTGTAAGTTTCAGATATAGTCTTTTTCACTGTGTTGACAGTATCTTTCACAAAGGAATTGTGTATTTTGTTTATGTTTTGCAAATGTTTATTTTGTTAATAAAACAGAAAAGGTACTGTTGTCGTTTATTTGTTACAAACTTAATAATAGTCCTAATCTGCTCTGAAAGACTTTTTATAAGCATAATAATAACTGCTGAAATGGGTATTTGCAAACACGATAAAAACATGTTTCTCCTCTGGTCGATCTTTACAACCCCCGTACCTGAAATGTACTAGCCTTTTATGTCTGAATTTACTGTTCTTAAACAACATCCTAACCTCGGACTGGAAAATGTTAAAGTTTCCGATCTTGAAAAGGTTGTTGCTTTTTAAAATAAAATGTATATATACGTAAGTTTAACAGAAACTGAAATGTGCAATCGAATTTAAAATACTTATTCACCTTTAGCTTCAGTAAGATGCATTTTAAATATCAATTCGAATCAATTATACTACACCATCGACAGGCATCGAGTCTACCACAAGGGTGTATATATAGCATTTACGCGATTTGCATTCATTAATAACACAAATGAGCCCTAATACAATGTTTTGAATATCCTTGACACGATCATTTCTAGCACAAGGATTTATAAATATCGACAATTATAAATAGTCAGGTGGTTCCAGCAATATACATATGACAGATGTGTTTTTATTTCCATATTCCTATAAACATATTTTGCTCCATTTATGTGTTTTGTCAAGTAGAAGTGGTTAATATACAATTAAGGTTATCAATGTCGAGGACATACACAGGTTGTCAGATGCCCAAGGTTTTTTATAATTTATTTATTTTTTCCATATTTACATTGATGACTCCAGTCATGTTTAAATACATGTTGTAGATTTCAGTTAGAAAACTTCATACAGAATACATCATGCAGAAGTTAAAACATCATTCAGAAAGCAGAAGGTTGCCGATCGACCAGAATTTGAATAAATGATCGATTCTTGAACTTATCATAGAAGAATATTTTGTCAGTTCACAATAGGTTTTAAGCTCCTGTTATAAAAACTGAGAGGTTGGCATCTGTTTAGATATTTGACAATTAAAGATGATATTTTTGAAAAGGATAAATATCACGTTGATTGGATAATTATTTTTATGGCCGAATCCGAGCAAAATTTGTTCTTTAGTGAACTTTAAATTTACATCAAGATTATTGTTAAGCCAGTTTTCAAGATTTTGCCAAATGGGAGTAACCTTGCTGCAATAATAAAATAGGTGTGTTATAGTCTCTAAAGAACTAGAACAATAGCTCCACAAGTCATGATCAATGTACTGCATCTTGTTTAAGTGGTGTGGGTTGTCGCCAGGTGTATCGCCGGTCATAAGGGTTCAAGAATCAAAGAAATCTAGATCTTCGTTTAGTTGAAAAATCTGGTTTCAAGCTTTAGGACTATTCATACGTTTATAATTAATGGTATCAGTAGAAAATTCTTGTACAACATTCCAATCTCAGCAGAAGATCACATGGTCACTATGGATGCCCAAGTTGTTAGTGAAATAGAAATAACCTGTCGAAACCGTTAAAGTCAGTGCGCAACACAATGAATCAACTCGGATTACAAATGAATATATAATGGCTTTTTTGCAAGCCACATAGATTTGACATAATGAATTTTGAAATCTTGAAAACAGCTTAAATATTAATTTACCCGTTTTCACTAAATTGAGCGTCACGGTTACAAGGTCTTACTAACTACAGGACGGGGGTGGGGGGTCTACCCCAGCACTTATAGCGTTCGCTCATCACGCCGAAGACCCGGATTCGAAACCCATTTCTGGTGTCCACCTCTGCGATATTGCTGGTATGTTGCTAAAAGCGGCGCACCCACGGTGCCTCCTTCATAGCCAGTCCTGATTTGTGGTACCACCTTTACCCATGCCGGAGTAGGAACATCATGTCACCCTGTTGTGATTGCCCCTGAAGAATACTCGTTACACTAAACTCACAGCGTCCATCGAACACGGCAACTTTTGTTTCAGCGTTAACAAGTGCATATCCTTTATGCTACGCTCTGTGTCCCCCTATAACAAATGATATACATAAATAAGTTGTAGTTGATATAGTCTAAGATACTTTACTCACGAATAGAGCCTTTCCTATTGGATCAAGTTACAGCCAACCAGAGCCTTATCGGGATATTTAACAGGACCTACTGGTGCGATAGATGCACTCGGTGCACCAGTAGGTTGCACTATTCTATCTTGATCTCCTCGAGGTTTATTTAGCTCAGCTTCTATGGTCAGCTAATATGTCTTTCAAAAACGTTTTTTTACCGACTGTTTCGGAGTGTCCCTCTGATTTGATAAGGGTGACGATAGTTTTTTTGCGTGTCCACTGCTCGTTTGCATTATACATTGTCATCTTAATAACAAATGCATGTTAAACACCGACCACACAGGGATGTTTACACATAAATATTACGATGCGTGTGATACACCGACTTGTCTGTCTCACAGTCCCTGAACCACATTATTTTCTCTACTGCCAAGCCCTATCTGCAGTGCTAAAGCGCTAAATAAAGCAAGTCTAGATTTCCTCCGGTTCAGGCAGAATGTCTGGTCTCCCTGGGTCTCCTTTTCAATTTAAATGGGCTTGTTTGTTACTATCAAAACTATATATATTCAGAGACTAAGCGTTAGCCTATACACCGACCACACATGGATGTTTACACATAAATATTACGACGCATGTCATAATCCAATCACACATGGATGGATACACATGCATATTACGATGACTGTCATACACCGACCACACGTGGATGTTTACACATGAATATTACGATGCATGTCATACACCGACTGCACATGGATATTTACACATGTATATTACGATTCGTGTCATACACCGATCACATATGGATGTTTTACACATGAATATTACGATGACTGTCATACACCGATCACACATGGATGTTTACACATAAATATTACGATGCATGTCATACACCGACTACACATGGATGTTTACACATGAATATTACGATGCATGTCATACACCGACTACACATGGATGTTTACACATGGATATTACGATGTATGTCCTACACCGACCACACATGGATGTTTACACATGAATATTACGATGCATGTCATAATCCAACCACACATGGAAGTTTACACATGGATATTACGATGCATGTCATACACCGACCACACATGTATGTTTACACATGAATATTACGATGCATGTCCTACACCGACCACACGGAGATGTTTAGACATGAATATTACGATGCATGTCATACACCAATCACACATGAATATTTACACATGGATATAACGATGCATGTCATAATCCAACCATACATGGAAGTATACACATGAATATTACGATGCATGTCCTATACCGACCACACGGAGATGTTTACACATGAATATTACGATGCATGTCATACACCGACCATACGGAGATGTTTACACATGAATATTACGATGCATGTCATACACCGACCACACATTGATGTTTACACATGAATATTAGGATGCATGTCCTACACCGACCACACAGGGATTTATATACATGGATATTACGGTACAATGATATACAGCTGATGATTTTTGATGGTTTTCGACCTTTCTCGATGGTTGTCACTAAGTAAATAAACTCTCTGAACATATTCTTAAATACATTTTCATAAATGGGTTAATGCTATAAATACAGTTCGGACAAAGTTACGACATGATGCATATCTCAAACATTTTGAATAGCAGTAAATGAGTGAGTGAGTCAGTTGTGAGGTGTTGGCTTTAGCGCCGCCCTTGAAGAGTCACTTACGTCATGGCGTGTCAATTTCAAGGCCAGGGCCCCGATCCACAACGCGTTCGTAACATTACGACCTGTCGTAACTCTACAGTTTATCATAGGCTTACGAATGTCGTAACGCTACGAACCCTTTCTGGGTTGCAAAATCTCGAAACATGGTCAAATCAAACTTAGAATCAAGATCCGATTAAGATGAAGGCTAAAAGTGGAAGTATGACGATCGCAACCGGGATTTAAAAAAATAAAATGGATTAGTCAGAGTCCAGTTTATAGACAGATTCCACTGTAGGAGTTAGCAGGCCAACAATATATGGTACTGAACGATTTGAATCGAACTTGTGCCACAGAACGTGGGATCAAAGCTTGTTCTTCCTCAGGAGCGAGGCCAGTGAGTTATTTTGAGGTAAATCGTAAAACCATGCCAAATGGGGACAATTGGGAAGCACTTTTCTGTTGTTCCTTCAGTGATATTGCTGAGGTATTGCTAAAACCGGCGTAGGACTCACACATTTGCTCACTGTGCATGCACGATATACATACACATACTTATACTATTGCATAGATCGTACATCTGAGTTTTGTATTTGTGGACTCGGCGAGTTACGGGTATTTGTGATTTAAGGGCCAGCCACCCCCACCCCACCCCAAGCTGGGGTTAAGTACATATACACAACTTAGGCCAGCCGATGTTTGACGTAAACCAGTCAACGTGTTAACATCGGTCAGCTGGAGTAGAAACGATACGTCTTTGTCACCAGGTGATCGTAACTCTTAACATAGACTTACGACATTCGTAGCGCTACGATCGTTTAGAGGAAAGGGGCCTTTGGTGAACATTCATGCGTCGGGCAACTGCACGTTGAGAATGGCCAGCTTCAAGCAAACCAATGGCGATATGACGGTTGGCTTCATTTAGACGTGGCATTTTGCGTTCGTCAACAATATTCCAAATACAGTGAATAATCGACAGACAGCGATCAACCTTTTATACCCATCATTGAGCCTATTTGATCCTCAACTTTCACGTGCATTGCAAGTGAATTGTGTATTCTGTTACATTACACGCCGAAATTGAAAATCATGCGTTAAATACGGGTATTTTACGGATGGTGCGTTTTGTTGTGATGTTTCAAAACATAAACACCATAGGACTCATAAACAGAGCAAAACCTTTTGTAAAATGAATCACGTTTTAATTCATTGCTACATGAAATTGCTATTTTCATGATGCGTTTCTTTTTTGGGAGAGTATAGATAGATATTTTATTACCAAGAACAGGTACATGAGTTCATCTTGCGTCACCCTGTGGCTTTAGCTCGACATTATTTTAAATATCCGAACAAAACTGGCATATAAGTAGATCCTTGTCATTTGCGATCTTTTTAAAGCGTTTGTTGGAAAGGTAGATTAAAACATTACTGCAAACTACCGTTAGGGTGCACATGGACCAATATTCGTGATACGATGACATTAATTAGAAATAGAGAACTAACCTGACCACCGATCAAATGACAAGCATGGGATACTGTATAAATGTTGGGGATTTCCAGTCACTTATGCTAGACTTCACAGCGACTACATGAACACGTTGTCAGGCTTGATGACGTGGTTAGTGTCATCGTACCAGGGTTCGGGTGACCCTGGCACCGTCAGGCTGCTAAGGCTCATCATCAGCTCAGGGCCCTTGCCCCCTCTACACGCAGCCCAGACAGTGAAAGGGACTTCACCCAGGAAACGCTGCCTAGTCGAACCTACCAAGAATTTTCCGGAGAACATGCAGGCTCCCCAACACTGCAGCCTTCTGAATTACCCAGAGTGTCAGAGTGTGCCCCCGATGGAGAACCCGGACACACGAGGTACCAAACCAAGATCACTGAGAACAATGGGGAGCCAGACGACAGTGTCCTTAGGATGCAAGCGAGATATTTCAAAGGCGATGTCCGCATATTAAGCATGCCTTTCCTGAATCTTGCCGTTGCTGTAAAAAAGGACAAAAAATTCAATGATATAAATAAATTCATTAGCCTTATCAAAAAGGACAAGGTCAGGTTTATTGCCTGGAATTCTTCTGAGGCACGTATTTGGCTATTCCAAAAACGTTTAAAAGCATCATTTTCCATGACGCCCTGGACATGTTCAATCTCGTACCATGGATGAAACTCGGAGTCAAAGCCACAGGCATGGCAAAGACGTTAGTAGAAGCAACGAGTCATATCATCATGTCTTTTAAGATAAACTGTTTGTGCCAAGGAAGAGCATCCACTGGCAAGTTATTGGACAGTCTGACACACCTGAAACATCACCTGCTGCTTTAGCACACACCTGAAACATCACCTGCTGTTTCAGTACACACCTGGAACATCACATGTTGCTTCAGTACACACATGAAACATCACCTGCTTCTTCAGAACACACCTTAAACACCACCTGACACACCTGAAACATCACCTTCTGCTTTAGAACACACCCGAAACATCACTTGCTGCTTCAGTACACACCTGTAACATCACCTGCTGCTTCAGAACACACCTGAAACATCACCTTCTGCTTCAGTACACACCTTAAACATCACCTGACACACCAAAACATCCTTGCTGTTTTAGTACACAATTGAAACATCACCTGATGCTTCAGCACACACCTGAAACATCACCTGACACACCTGGAACATCACCTTCTGCTTCAGTACACACCCGAAACATCACCTTCTGCTTCAGTGCACACCTGAAACATCCTTGCTGTTTTAGTACACAACTGAAACATCACCTTCTGCTTCAGCAACACACACGAAACATCACCTGATGCTTCAGTACACACCCGAAACATCACATGACACACCTGAAACATCACCTTCTGCTTCAGTACACACCTGAAACATCACATGACACACCCGAAACATCACCTGATGCTTCAGTGCACATCTGAAACATCACCTTCTGCTTCAGTACACATCTGAAACATCACCTTCTGCTTCAACATCTGCTTCCAGTGCACCTGAAACATCACCTTTGCTTTTTAGTACACACACCTGAAACATCACCTGACACACCACACGAAACATCACCTGATGCTTCAGTGCACACCTGAAACATCACATGACACACCTGAAACATCACCTGATGCTTCAGTACACACCTGAAACATCACATGACACACCTGAAACATCACCTTCTGCTTCAGTGCACACCTGAAACATCACATGACACACCTGAAACATCACCTTCTGCTTCAGTGCACACCTGAAACATCACATGACACACCTGAAACATCACCTTCTGCTTCAGTACACACCTGAAACATCACCTGATGCTTCAGTACACACCTGAAACATCACATGACGCACCCGAAACATCACCTGATGCTTCAGTGCACACCTGAAACATCACCTGACACACCCGAAACATCACCTGATGCTTCAGTGCACACCTGAAACATCCCTGCTGTTTCAGTGCTCACCTGAAACATCACCTGACACACCTGAAACATCACCGGCTGCTTCAGCACACACCTGACATATAACGAGGAACTTTGCTATTCATGTCACACATACCGTGTTTCTATGATATCCACCTGAACATGAGTTGCTAGTTCACGACACCTACTTTAAGACTCAGTCACTCACTCCTTTTCTACTACGACTTGACTGGAGTAAAGGAACCAGATCTTGACCCTTATTCTCGAAACGTTCGTAGCCTTAAGAATTCTTAACTTTGATCGTAGCCAATGTGTTAAGAATGGGCTTACGAAGTTCGTCGGGTTACGAACGTTTCGAAAATAGCTAGCCTGGACCGCAACATACCATAGTGTCACTATAGCAGTGCATCAAAAGTTTACTGTACATTTATACGTTTCCTGTCAAAGACAACATCTTATTCTGAAACCAACATGTCTGAACCGTGGACGGCTGTGTGGTTTTGAAAGTAACACAGGAAAGAAGATTACGAAAATAGATTTTATTCAACATAACAAAATGAACAATGATAAAAGAATCGGCAGCACACAATGGAATCAAACACACACTGCAATGCTGATACAAGACATACTTTAGGAATGTTACGAAAAGGTGAAGCATCATGAATGAAAAATACACTGAAGAGATAATTGACAAACAGTGATGCCCATATAGTCCGGAATGTTAGATAGAGAGTCCAGATAAACGAGTTTCCCTATTAACAAATATGCTTCTGTGAAATGTTACTGTTTATATCGATATTCCTGGCAGTAACGGTTCAGAAAACACGGCGTCTGATAGCAGGATAAATGCAAATGTAGATTTACCGAATTTTCATTCAAATAACGGTATAACACCAAGGAACACCTTTTGGCTCGACTTAGAAAAACACATTGTTTGTGTAGCACTGTGACGTACCAGTGACGTCACCATTCGTCTGTTACGTCATACGCGACATTGTATCTCAAGACTTGTTGTATTTCCATAACCGATTAACCAACTGACCAATTTCCCATTTGTGAAAAAATAATATTTCGCCGATTTGGCGGGTTAATTATTTCTGGTTAATCTTACCATTACATGGACTAATAAGGAGAATACGACGTATTGTTAAAGAGGTACTTTCTGTTATGTTGCATAGCGAGGTACAATCGTGATTTTATGATGGTGAACATAACTCAAAAGTAGTAGTCATCAAAGTAATATGTGTGTTTTAACTTCAAGACTTGGGAATAATGTTTTATAACAAATACAATGAACCTTCTTGTGTTTTGATTTTAAATATACAAAACAGTCTAAGACGTCAATGGCGGGTCTAATCTCGAAGGTTAATCAGCATGTGATGATTTTAGTGAAACGAGTATGAAATTCTCTATGCATTGGACAAATCCAATGGAATGGGTTCTTTCACATATGAATAAGTCAGCCGAACGCTTAAACGTTCATCATGGTGTCCGATACTATGCTGTAATATTGAAACATTCAGGATGCGATAAATAGTTAGCAACTTGTAGTTGCAATGAATTGGCAGTATATCTGAACTATGGAAGACATATGGTTTACGTGAAAGGCAACACCATTCAAATAGCGAACACACTGAGCTTTGCAATGAATAGGCAACATTACTGAAATATTGAATCCTCGGTTTACGTGAAAGGCAACACCATTCAAATAGTGAACACATTGAGCTTTGCAATGAATGGGCAATATTATTGAACTATTGAACACATATGGTTTAGGTGAGTGAGTGTGGTTCTACGCCGCTTTTAGCAATATTCCAGCAATATTACGTCCGGGTACACCAGAAATGGGCTTCACACATTGTACCCATGTGGGAATCGAACCCGGGTCTTCGGCGTGACGAGCGGACGGTTTAACCACTCGGCTACCAACGGCCTCGTGTTTACGTGAAAAGGAAACACTATTCTAACAGTGAACACATCGAGCTTTGCAATGAATGGGCAACATTATTGAAATACTGAACACGTATGATTTACGTGAAAAGGCAACACTATTCAAATAGTTAAAACCTTGTGATTTGCAGTGATTCATCAGTTGACAACACAACTGAAACAAATATGGTTGGCATAAATTGGCAACACGACTGAAACACTTATGCACATGTTTTGCATGAATTAACAGCACCATTGAAACGTTGAAGACGTAGATTGCAATGACTTGACAGCGCCGTTGACAAAATGAACCTGTCCATGAACATGACCTCACGACTTGTTACGAAGCTTCGCTATTTATTGTATTCCATGTTCCATCGACAGACGTTTGACGTACATTGGGTCGTCTGCCTCTTCTTCTCCATTTGTTCTTCTTCTTTCTTCTTCCTCTCCTATTTTTACGTCTGTTCCTTCTCTTCTTCTCCCGTCCTCGTCTGTTGCGACGCCCCTTTCTGGTCTTTTCCCCCTCGGTATTCTGCATTCTCCCAGACTTCCTCACCATTGCCTTGACAACAGTAATGCCCTTCTTGCCTTTCTTTCTTCGTCTAATCTTCTTACACCGGACCTTCGTCCCGGTCGAGTCAGAGCAGCGTGTCCGTTGTCCCCCACGAGCTTTCACTGAAAGACGAATGAGTTTGGCTTTACACCGCTGTTAGCAATATTCAAACAATATCACGCGGGGGACACCAGAAATGGGCTTCACATAATGTGCCCATGTGGGGAATCGAACCCGGGTCTTCAGCGTGACGAACGAACGCCTTAACCACTAGGCTACCCCACCGGCCCCACTGAAGGACGAAAAGTATACAATGATTTATCATCTTGTCAAATGAGAACCGTGGCAACAGTGCAGTAAAGGACGATGTCGTATAACCACAACGCAACTCACAGAATGGAGAAGTACGAATTTTGAAAAATCGAATCTATAACTTCGCTGTGATCAATCACAGTATCGAAACGTTTCTGAATTATCATCATAATCATCATCTTCATTATCACCATCATCGGTACCACCACCATCATCATCATGACGACGACGACGGTGGTGATGATGATGATAATTATGATGATGATGATGAAACGTTTCGATACTGTAAATTGACGAGAGCTAAGTTGAAGATTCGATTTTTGAAATTTCGTTTCTTGAACAATGAAACCGTCTCCTTTAAGATGAAAGCAGTTGACAAGATTTATCTGCTTCTTGATGTCACTCGACCCGTGAATGTCCGGGTTAGAATGTACCTTCAGTAACCCATGCTTGTCGTAAGAGGCGACTAACGGGATCGGGCTCGCTGGCTTGGTTGACACATGTCATCGGTTCCCAATTGCGCAGATCGATGCTCATGCTGATGATCACTGGATTGTCTGGCCAAGAGTCCATTATTTACATACCGCTGGACTATTGCTGAGTGCGGCGTAAAACTAAACTCACTCACTCTCTCTTGATGTCACTAACTCACCTCCAGTACTACGGCCGTGCTTTTTGCGCTTCATCATATCCTCGCAGGTATGTGATGGCAACGTCTTCGTCTCTCCGCTGGACTTCACTGCAGCTGCAAGTGAACAAGAACACCATGTATAATGACGCGATGCTTTGACGAAGATGGGCCAATCGTCTCCAAAAGGACCTCGGTCAGTAATGGTAGGACACCATACTGGACGTACTTTTATGCAGATGACGATAATGATATATGACAGCTTGGTGGAAGTTATGAACCTAACATAAGCATTGAGATGTACAGATTGCCGTTACCTTTGTAATAATATGTGTCATACCAAAACTATGTTTTTTCTTGGTATCCCAATTTGACTTAAACAAATGCCTGTCTTCTCGGAAACCGTCCCTCGGGTTCTAAGGGGTTTCTCCGAACCTGAAAGTACATCCAAGTGCAGCTCCTTTGGACAACCGTGAGGCCGTGCCACCTTCCTTTCACATACTCCCTCTGTATTACGTACTCTCTCTATTACGTATTCCCTTCACTCTCGTACTCTGTCTGTCTGTCTATCTGTGCCCTCTCTCTCTCCCTCCCCTCCCTCTCTCTCTCTCTCTCTCTCTCTCTCTCTCTCTCTCTCTCTCTCGTTCTCTGTATGTAATCTTTAAGGCTGCGTTAAACTCTTGATCACCTACACACAATGCTGTACAAGTGTTCATTCTTACTTTGAAACTTTAGAATGAAACCTTTCCCTCCTTTTGATCGCATGGACACGTGGAACTGCAGCATGACACATCCATCCTTGACAGTAATGTCCACATTCTGGCTCCCTCTCACCTTCTTCATCTCACCCTTGGCGTTGAAGAACCGGAGATTATCCTGTCTTGTGTCAGGGTCAAGGTCGATTTCCTCAGTGTATATACGTAAACCGTACGTGTTGTGGACAGGGATGTATTTACGACATGTGGTTTCAATTGCAGAGTAGTGCCATGGGTAGTTGGAGTGGCTACGTATGATACCAGCTGTGGCGTTGATGACGTCAATGGCTCTGTCACAAATGTTGAAGACAGACCCTGAAAGTCAGGGAAACCATATTAAATGAAATAATCATATTAACGCTTCAGTCAGTAAGTGAGTTTAGTTTTACGCCGCTTTTAGCAATATTCCAGCAATATCACAGTTGGGGACACCAGAAATGGGCTTCACACATTGTACCCATGTGGGGAATCGAACCCGGGTCTTCGGCGTAACGAACGAAAACGCTTCAGTATTTACCGGTGGGGTTGCCTGGGTCCCGTTCCACAGAGCGTTCGTAGCGTTACTACCTATCGTTACGCTATACTTTACCATAGGTTTACGAAGGGCATAGTGCTACGAACGTTTTATGGATAGGGTGCCCGGTGTTTAAAGCTCCCGATTTCACGTCGAAATTCGGGTTCGAGTTTCCTTTCCGCTAGGGTACAATGTGTGAAGCTCACTTTGGTGTGATTGCTGAATTATTAACCGCTCAGTCAGAAGGATATTCCATAATGTATTTCACTTAAGAGTGAGTGAGTGAGTCTAGTTCTACGCCGCTTTTAGCAATATTCCAGTAATATCACGGACACACGATCTGGGGGACACCAGAAATAGGCTCACACATTGCACCCATGTGGGGAATTGAACCCGGATCTTCGCCGCGACGAGCAAACGCTTGTTAACCACTAGGATACCCCACCGCCCCGTTTCACAGAAGAAGAGTAGCGTTATGGTTATAGTGTTCTATCGCCACGTAGAAGATCCGACTCGAATACAATACGATAATCATGTGACTAATCCGTTTCACATCATAATGATATTTCTAGAATAACTTTTAATGGTACTTAGAACAACTGACAAAGAAAACAAGTGGTTTGATTATTCATGTAAATATTAACTCTCCGATTCATGTATTATAACGTTTTCTTTGACAGTCTTGCTGACTCGGTTGGCACATGTCATCGTATCCCAATTACGTACATTGATGCCCATAATGTTGATCACTGGACTGTCTGGTTCAGAGACCGCCGCTACATTGCTGGTATATTGCTGAATATGGCGTTAAACAACAACCAACCAAACATACTTACCTTTGGGCTTACACTGATAGCTCTCCACTGAGATGTATTTGGGAACCTGGGCCAAACAGTTCATCGTGCTTGTCATGGTTAAAGGAACTCCTCTCGTCCAGCTGAAATCACACGCGTTCTTCCAGTAGCACCGATTTCGTTGAGTGATGAGAGTATGGGTGAGGCCTTGACAATCTCCGGGAACAGACATGCATTGTCCGCCATTGCTCACACCAGCTACAAATTCAGGTTTGAATATCACGTGACCGGAAGGACACACGATACTCATGGAATCTTTCCTGCTGACGATGCATTTGTCAACAGAGCCTGTAACTGTGAATGGAAAAAGTGAACAAATAAATTCAAGTATCATATAGTATGGCATATTCTAGTTGTAAACAAAGTCATAAACTGCTCACAGAAAGTAGGGGATATTGAAGTTAAACACAGCATCAAAAACAAAGGAATGTAGATTCCTCCGAGTGCTTTAGGTATGTTTGAGAGGATAACCATTGGCCCACCTTAACATGTTGCACATTGACCACCAGGCGTCCTTGGATCCGGAAACATTGGACCCAAACGAATCAGGGGGGTGGATATGAAATATCGCATCATGTTTCACATATGCAGATGGTAAAATGCACGTGCCGCATGTGCAAGGGTGGCTATAAATGTGGGTCTAGGACCATGACCATCCATCATTTCACCACTTCCACAATGCAAAGATTAAAGATTGAGAGCCATAGGGATGCTCCAGTCCGGAAAAACACAATCCCACTTAGCAGCAGAACTGTTGTTGTGGACACGTTACACTGCCACTGGAAGAGTTCAGGATAGGCCTCGAAGTGGTCGCCTCAGATGTACCACCACCGGCGGATCATCACTGGAGTCCTCCGTGATCGTCCACAAAATGCGACACAGTTGCTGCAAGTACACAGACAGGCCACTGGGAAGCGCATCTCCACACAGACTATACGGAACCGTCTCCATGCTGCATGCCTTCGACCTTACATTCCGTTGCCCGTAACAAACCACCACGGGCAAGCCCGGAGACCAGCGGTGGAGCAATGCCCAGTGATCCCATGTGATGTTCAGCTTCACCTTGGACTTCAATGACGGCCGTCATCGTGTCTGGCGACGCCCTGGTGAACGCTAATACACAGCTGCCGAGATTACACATGATCGATATAGAAGAGGGTCTGTTATGGTGTGGGGTGGGGTGATGATGACGGGCAGGTCCGATCGCCACATCTGCCAAGGGAGAGTCACTGGTATCTACTACCCTAAACATGATCCCGCCACACGTACTGCCGTTTGCATGTTGCCACGGACTAGGTTTCATTTTACAGGATGATAACGCCAGACCTCATCGTGCTCGCGTTGTCCTTCATCTTCGTCAGCACCAAATCCAAACTCTTCAATGGCCAGCAATGTCTCCGACCTCTCCTCCGTAGAGCATGTGTGGTATACGCTCGGACGAGTGCAGAGGCGGCACACTACCCCCCACTCCCACCCCACCCTCCCAAACACACACACACACACCACCCAATGTCAGGACTTGAAGGTACTGGACGTGGGACTTTAAGAGGAATGTCAGAGGATTCCTCAAGTTGACATTTTACACCTCATTAGGAGTATGAAACGGTGATGTCATGCTTGCTTGGCAGCTAATGGTGGGCCAACCCGTTATTAACCCGTTTGTGGCATTTGGGTTACCAACCCTGGTGAACTTCGCAGTGTCTACAAAAACGTCTCCATCGTTATCAAAGTTAATTTGTTGAAAAATGTTGCCAGACATCCTTATTTCCACATGAACATTGTTTCCAAATGGCAAGTAAACATACGTTTACTTTTATTTGTCTCAAATTTACAATATCCCATACTTTTTGTGAACACTATATATGAAACTCGGGTGTTCCTTAGGTTCTTCTAAACAAGTGAAATACAATACTATGAATTGTACATATTGTCATCTTGTTCATCACACTACTGAAAAGAAATTATTAAGACTCACCAGTGACCGCTGTGTTTGTCAGTTGTGAGTTTTTTACGGACGGCGTCTGTACCAGATCCTTGATTGTCCGTTGAGTGCTCTCGTCCTTCATGTCTGTTGAATAAACCAGTGAATTTTGATGAACCTCTTTATTAAACCCGTATTAAAGACTGCTGACCGAATTGCGGCTCCATAGACTACTCTAGCATCTGTCGAAACAGAATCTGTACGTGCCAACCATGACCATTTGAGTCAGTAGTTTTGATATCTCTATGAGTATTGGTAAACGAAGTGTAAACACGCCTGCATTATTTGTCTTCGACATTGAACCATTCATTAATATCATTAACGGCACTTGGGTTTGGGGTATATGTGTCAAAAACACAGGGCACATCAAAGTTTATGGGATGACGTGTTAATTGCCTAACATACGTAAATATCAAAATATGGCAGTGCTGACGTTCCATCACGGTATAGGCCTGTAAGTCTCACGAGGCACAACTTCTGGTACTAAGCTGGTTCACGGCTCCCACCTCAACTTGCGACATGAGAGGGGGTCCCTGCATACTTCCGGTACCAGATTTCCGGTGACAAGCGTATATTCAAGAACAAGATCTGGTTCCAAACTGCGCGACCGCCAAATATGACTTTACTAGACCAGACCAAGTGTACAACCATGCTTAGCTGTCACAGCTGCTGAGAGTCGTAATTGTTGGGTAATTTTGGGATGGTTAGATCGGAAAGTTGTTATTCCTTCAAGGATTATCTGTTCCTTACTGTCAACTGACAGCCATGAGGACATTCGAAAAGGTATGAAATGTTGTTTGTCACCGGAATTACTAAGGTCTCGCGAAGTGCCGTGACCTACTTACGGGCCCTATTGTGTTAGTGGTTGAACACATGAGATACTTACACAGTGACGGGTTTACAGCACGCGTTATGTTAGGTCTTCCAGCCATTTTTATCACAAAAAAGGTTTTGACTTACATTCGAATCGAAGTATGAACCCTCGTCCTGCCCGCCTCCCTGCTGATATGCTGAAGGTAATAGTGACGTTTTCCCCTTGTATTAGGAAGTTTTCCTCATTCGATTCCAAGCCGCGTCTGTAAAACAACACTTTATCCCTTGGTCCCGCCTGGCTTGAGATCTTCAGATGATCCTGGTTGTGGCCATTGGTGTCAAGGTCGTCCACCGTGATCACCAAGGTATGTCCAGGTCGGAAACGGAGCACCTGACTGCATGACGTCATCATGTCGTCATAGTTGTAGGGGTAACTTGGGCTGCTACGTATGACGCCTTTAGTGATACGTGACAGCTGGGAATCACGGGAACAGATATCGAGGATTTCATCTGAAAACGGTCCAGCACGTCCTTTTTAATCATATCTTTGCTTTGTCTCTAAACATATATACTTACTTGATACAAACAAATAATTCCATATAAATTGGAAAGGAGCCCCAATAGGACGTGAGATTGAGACAATCAAACCTTGCTTCAGTTTGGGCTTCAGCACTACAGAACGGGCTGGGCGGAAGGGAAAATAACGCGATTTAAGGACTGGGAGACAGACTTCCACTTATTATGGCTATATTCTTTATATATTCATAATGTAGATAATTAGTGTACATATATTTTTATTTCAGACAGACAATAAGAGGGTCACTCAAACAGTACCTATGATCACAAAATGCTGTGGTGTTGTCATACCTGATTGAATATACATGGAATTGTCACGTCTGACAGAATACACGCGGTGTTGTCACATCTGACAGAATATACGTGGAGTTGTCATACCCGACTGAATACATGTAGGATTGTCATACCTGTCTGAATACATGTAGGGTTGTCATACATGACGTATGTTGGCCTGACACTATCACACGTGGTGTTGACTGGGGACGTCATGGGCTGAGTACTTCTCCAACGTAGTTTACACCACTTGCTCCAGAAACACGCCGCCCTCTCTTTCCTTAGTTCGAGGGTGAGACCTGTACAGTCGCCATCTTGGAACCTGCACCTGTCGTTAGCGCTTGCTCCCAGAACAATCTTAGGTTGGTAGATCACGTGATCCGAAGGGCAGTTGAAGATGATCTTATCTTCCCGACGATCTATGCATTGCGTTATCCAAGCTATCGCACCTGGAATGGTAGGAAGTAAAAACCTGATAACGTGTTAAGAGCTATAATTACTTCTACACCAGCATTTATAAGGTACCACTTATCGTCCGTGTTCTCTCTAGCCGTATTTAACAAGCGCAGCGAGATACGTTTTGAAACAACGATATGTTACATAATTGGTATCTGACAGGCGAGAGCAGCAATCTGGTTCTTGTACACCATAAAACCGCACCATTTTAACATAAATCAATGCTTGTTTGGCCTTATCCTCCTTATCGTATTAATGAACAACACAGCGTCAAGAGTGATGTTTGGATTGCCAAGGTGTTAATAATAACGGGAACTAGATACGATCAGATACCAACATATGTTAATATTATGTAAAAGCTAATCTTAATCGTTCAGCAAGTTACGATGCGGATCATTGCCACTGGAAGTGTAAGTTGGACATTTTACACGACCCATAACACCATTAGAAAATCGCACATGCTAATTTTATAACAGTGCCTCTTGCGAGGACAAGGTTCATTTTCTTGTTGAATGTAGTTTTTATAACGAATTGGATATGAGCTCTTTAATAAACTAGACATAAATGATAGGTCCCTCAGTGCCTTATCCTCAGCTGATAAAACTATTTACATAGTATCTAACGGATGCCATATAAAATCCATAGCCGCAACGGTTTTTACAATGTTTTCTTTTAGGAATGTCCTTTCATCTTTTACCTTTTATGATATTTTACAGTATTAACCTTTTAACATATTACTTTTATGTCCTATATGTATTTAGTGTCTCATAGGTCAATGTTGGCCGGACACTTTTATGAAGTGTGTGACCCTTAAATACAATATTTTTCGTGTCTTTCTTCTTTCTTCTCTATATTTTACCAAAACAAGCTATCACTCTGACACCACCTATGTTACACTTGGGGTTACACTTTCTTTATGTGTACAGAGTCGAATATTTTCTCCAAAACGCTGCAGGCCCTCAGGCCCTCAGGACCCAGAACCATAAAAAGTTGTGGGTCCTGATCAGAATGTGTAGGTCCTTTATTTTAGCTACAACATAAGAAATTCCCAGCAAACAAACTATGTGACAACTAACAAACTGAGTTAAAGAGCTTAATCTAACTCTAGTGACTGACTAGTCTCCATGTTGTGGTGGGAGACGCGGTGGCTGAGTGGCTTTGATCGCTCACTTTGTGCGATCCATGCTGGTGCCTCAGTTTAGGTAGTGCTACGTATCCCGGTTGGGTAGTGTTCCAACACTGTGACTGACAAATCACTGACATTGACTTTGAATGATTGTAACTGACAATGACTGACTTGGGCTGACAAATGACTGACTGTGACTGACCGTGACTGACAATGACTAACCTTGACTGACAATGACTGACACTGACTGACTTTGACTGACCGTGACTGACAATGACTAACTTTGACTGACCGTGACTGACTTTGACTAACTTTGACTGACAATGACTGACTTTGACTGACCGTGACTGACAATGACTAACTTTGACTGACAATGACTGACTTTGACTGACCGTGACTGACATTTGACTGATGGTGACTGACAATGTCTGACAATGACTTACTTTTACTGAACGTAACTGACCATGACGGATCGTGACTGGCTGACTGTAACAGACGATGACTGACCGTGACTAAAAGTCTGACTGACTGACTGACAATGACTGACTGACGGCTGACGTGACGGACCAATGACTGACGATGACTGACAAAGACTTGACTGACTGACCATGACTGACAATGACTAACTGACCGTGACTGACAATGACTGACTGATGACTAACTTTTGACTAACTTTGACTGACCGTGACTGACGACCATGACTAACAATGACTGACTGTGACTGATCGACTGACAATGACTGACAATGACTAACAATGACTGACAATGACTGACAATGACTAACTTTGACTGATCGTGACTGACAATGACTAAATGACTTGACTGACAATGACCGTGACTGACTTACTTTGACTGACTACTGACTTTAACAATGACTGACTGACCGTGACTGACAATGACTAACAATGACTGACAATGACTGACAATGACTAACTTTGACTGACCATGACTGACAAATACTAACTTTGACTGACCATGACTGACCATGACTGACAATGACTAACTTTGACTGACCATGACTGACAATGACTAACTGTGACTGACCGTGACTGACAATGACTAACTTTGACTGACCATGACTGACCATGACTGACAATGACTAACTTTGACTGACATTTGACTGGTGGTGATTGACAATGTCTGACAATGACTTACTTTTACTGAACGTAACTGACCATGACGGATCGTGACTGACAATGATTAACAATGACTGACCATGACGGATCGTGACTGACAATGACTAACTTTGACTGACCGTGACTGACCGTGACTAACTTTCACTGGCCATAACTGACATTTGACTGATGGTGACTGACAATGTCTGACAATGACTTACTTTTACTGAACGTAACCGACCATGACGGATCGTGACTGGCTGACTGTAACAGGCGATGACTGACCGTGACTAAATGTGACTGACTGTGACTGACGGTAACTGACAATGACTTACAATGACTGACATTGACTGATCATGACTGACAATGACTGACAATGACTGACTGTGACTGACTGTGACTGACGGTGACTGACCATGACTGACAATGACTGACAATGACTGACGGTGACTGACGGTGACTGGCAATGACTGACAATGACTGACAAAGACTGACAATGACTGACATTGACTGACCGTGACTGACTTTGACCGTGACTGACAATGACTAACTTTGACTGAACGTTACTGACCGTGACGGATCGTGACTGACAATAACTGACTGTAACAGGCCATGACTGACCGTGACTGTCAATGACTGACCGTGATTTAGCAATGACTAACTGTGACTGACTGTGACTAACAATGACTGACTGTCACTGAGAATGACTGACTTTGACTGACCGTTACTGACAATGACTGACGGTGACTGGCAATGGCTAACTTTGACTGACAGTGACTGACAATGACTAACAATGACTGACCGTGACCGACCATGATTGACAATGACTGACGGTGACTGACCGTGACTGACAAAAACAACTTTGACTGACCGATACTGACATTTGACTGATGGTAACTGACAATGACTAACTTTGACGGACTGTGACTGACAATGACTGATTTTGACTGTGACTGACGATGACTGACAATGACTTACTCTTACTGACCGTGACTGACCGTGACTGACAATGACTGACTGTAGCAGGCCGTGACTGACAATGACTGACTGTAGCAGGCCGTGTCTGACCGTGACTGAATGTGACTGATCGTGACTGATTGTTACTGACTTTGACTGACCGTAACTGACACTTGACTTTGACTGGGGAGGGGATGTGTCAAACAATGTCTGTTCACTCACGAATTTGTTGATGTGTTTTGTTGTTGTTGATCTAAGTGCACTACAAAATCCGCTCAAACCTGATTACCCTCAGACAATCTTCCTGATGAAACCAGGATAGCGCGGCGTGTTTCATTCAGTGGCTGAAAGGGTGCATGGAGTGTCATTCTTTATCTGTGACAAAAACATCCACCATATGTAGGTCAACCCTTTCACAGTGGGAGGAAACTCTTGGCTAGGTCAAGTTCAATGTTTGTGTTGACGTCAAACAATGCATGACGCTTGTCATTCACCGAAAAGAGGACAAAGATGTACTGGGTAACTCGGTAATTTCGTATCAAATTGATAACGTATGTTTTGCGATCCCCTGTAGCGGTATACATGTGTGTGGTATAAACACGTTCTGGTACATATATTCAAAGTGACAAATATAATTCTTAAACGACAACATCAGGGAAGAATTTAGACTAACGCTTGAACATAAATAAATTTGATAGTAACAAATAATTCCAATTAAATTGAAAAGGAGTCACAATGAGATGGGAGATCCATAGCCTGAGGAAATCTAGACTTGCTTCATTTAGTGGTTGGGAAAATAATATGTTTCAGGGACTGTGAGGTAGACTAGGAATAATTGTGTCCATTATATGGTGACAATTGTATGAATTGAACCATTGTGCAGTATTGCCTTATTATAGAGTATTGCTTTATGTATATTAAGTGTATTAAGTACAAGGTGTTGACAGTACATGTATTTTCTATGTAAGCTAACATAGGAGCATCCCAATTGAATTTTCATCTCCCTGCGGAGGATACAATATTTCATAATACAGTGTCATATTGGTGGAATTGTGTGAGTGAGTTTAGTTTAGTTTTACGCCGCATCAAGCAATATTCCAGCTATATGGCGGTGGAATGGTGTGAACCCTACGTGCTATCTATAACACATCGATATTTAAAAATAAAGTCTAATAAATGAAATGCAATACGCACTTTCGAATGATGCATCTATATAAATAGATGTATCATATGGTTTGAATTATAAAGAAATTGTCAAAGACTTACCTCTAAACACCAGCACGTGGAGAACTACATTCAGCAGCCCGCTGACACCCATACTGTGAGGCATTGTGGCATAGGGATTCCCCGGTGACCTATTTATACATCTATAATTCGCTTCCTCGATGTCACCTTAAGCCTCTTATTTTGCTTGCATTAATCTTAGGTATAGCTATATTTGAAAACAAAAAAATTATTTCGTATTTAGGAGATCATTCTGAGGAATCGTTATATTAATCCGACTATGAAACTTTTGTGAAATAAATATGAATCAATGCCAAGTTTGCACTTTCGTTTTGAATTCCCTGTGAATGATTTTCTTGCTCTTGGAAACGAAAATACAACACAATGGCTTAACATTAATTGTAATATCTAATGATACAATTTATTTTGAAACAATAAAAAGAAATATTCTGCGTTGGTCTATATGAAAACTAGGCCACAAGACGCAGGAAATCTTGACAGCTTTTGGAGGAAGAAAAGGGATCATAAGGAAAAGGGCTCCAGTATCAACGCGTCTGACACCTTGTCTCAAAGTTGTTGTTTTTTTTTTTTGGGGTCGGGGGTCATCAAAGTTTGAATGTGTCCTAAGGTCAGTCCAACTTGACCCACCTCCCCATGATAAATGACCAGACCCTAAACACTTCAAAAGAGGATTTGACTACCATATTACAAACCTTATTAAAAAGGAAACTTGTCGATAACAGTCGGAGAAACAGGGGCAACCAAAGGCCTAAATCTGCTATAGACCACTACGGAATAACTCTTTTCTAATTCGTTTCATTTTTAGCCACAAATAAACATGGATGTATGTCTTTTTTGTTTGCTATGTTCTTTTTTATTAGCCGTAATATTTTTTTATATTTTTACAGACATGGGGTTTATGTGTGAACCCAGTTTCAGGATTATATTCAATCAATCTTTATAGGCCTACAACACATTTATATACACAGTATTTACAACTGAGCAGCAGAAATACATATGTCAAATATTTACAGATTACAAACTTCCTATGTATAAATCCAAAATAGATAAACATTGACAGGTTCTGTAATTCAATAGTATTTTTACTTGTACTTGTTAATAGTATATAGTCATTTTTATTTGATTTGAATGGGTATAATAGTAGGATGTTAATATTTCTTTCTAAGATTTTCATAGGCGGGACAGATAAAAAGAAAATGGTATTCGTCTTATACAACATTAACGTTACAGAGGTTGCAGATTCTATGATTACGAATATTAATATAACGCCCAGTTTCAACAAACAACTCGTGCAAATGAGCAGCAGGATTATATTGCAATATCTAAGAACGCGTTTCCACAGTGTTTCATGGTTTACATTATGTTTATCACTTGAAGGTGTACCTGTTCAAACACACCTTAAACTCATTTCAATTAGCTTTAGCGGAATATTCCAGTCGGCGCCCACGCTTTCGACGACGGAAGGAAACCTTTTCTATGAGGAAATATTTCTGATTATGTTTTTATGCTGGACTTTTATCAACTTTACTGCGCACTTTATTTAGGATTCACAGAAATTCACAAGATTTCCTAAATTAGGTTAAGAAATGCGCTCAGTGAGTGAGTGTGTGCATCTGCACGCTGAAGCCAAAGTGGATACAAACTGTAGCGCAAATACGGTTGCGCAGTAAAGATAAAATGACCAGTGTTCCTATAGCGAGCAAAGGTTGGCTACGTGCTTCCCTCGCTTCTGTTCGAAAAATATTTATAATATCAAAATAAAATATCGCCACCATCAAAGGTAGACACCCATTTCCTCACAGGGTTGTGCTCTCAGATTTCCAACCTCATATTTAATAATTACTCACGTACAAATATATTCAACATTTTAAGCGCCACTCGTGGCATATCACATCGTTCTTCGCCTCCGTTACCCCTGCCAGCTTCCGGTTCAACGCACTCTATTTGAAGTGATTAAAAGTAAAAACATATCGACTTTGCAAAAGCACATGGCGACAATAAACAACATATTTTAACGCTCTTTGGTATGACGCTGCCAGAGTTTGAACAACTGAACTGCCGTACTAGGCTGATACGCTATCCTCTAGCCACAGGCGGTCTGAGCTTGAAGCATGAAATATATGAGTTGCATGATAAAGTTGCAATCACTTGGGAACACAGCCCAAGATAAAGACAAAGACAGGCAACACTCGGTTTGTTGGATTTTGGGATGTCAGTCATATATATTTTTCTTTTCACAAATACATTTTCAGGACATTGGGCATTCTGTGGTAATACCCCCAGGATGAAAAATCTATATCTTTGTCCCTGGACCAAACTGTTTCATCATCGTCGTAAAGTAAAGTGAAATGAGAATCAAGCAGGCCCCGAGCTTGACCATTCGATCCAGGCTTGACCATCCGGGACAAACTGAAAGACGGATTCCCCACGCAATACAACCATGTTCGGTGTTTAGGGCTGAATCTCTAGTTAACCTCCATTATCCAATCCCAGATTGACTATCTGATCCAAGCATAACTATACTGAACCACAAAAGAAACGTCGCTTTTCAAAACCAAATGCAAAATTTTTGTTCTTACAAAATGTTTTTATTTTATGATTGTATCGTTTTGTTAACATGTTTTTGAATCCAAACTGACAGTTATTACCAACAACAGTGTGTTTTCTGATGAAAAAGGATATCGACCAAACGCACCTAAAAAGGTAAACGGATTGGTAAAAGGTTCCGCATAGAAAAGGCACGTCCATATCGTAACAACCCTACCAATGAAAGCGAGACCCAAACTCGCCTGAAATCATTTTTGTGTCGACACAATCACCATAGCACGACTTACGAGAGATCAGAAGAACCAAGTCTTTGGACGATAGCAAGTTGGTCAGACTGCATTGAGGGTAGCCAATCATTTTAATGTTCATGTTAGGACAATCTACCGACTGCAGGAGTGTTTTCAGGTCACTAACAGCATCCAAGACCGTCCACGCAGTGGGCGACCTTCAGTAACATCACAACGTCAAGACCGACAGATTGTGCGCCACCATCTGCATAAGCGCTTCCCCCGAGCGACGGAAATAGCACGCCAGACCATTGGGACCAACAGACCCATCAGTGCCGATACATTGCGTAGACGTTTGCGCGGAAGAAACCTCTGCTGTCACAGGTTATGTCGTAATCCTGTCCTCACGGCTCATCACCGCCAAAACCGACTGCAATGGGCAACTCAGCATCGAAATTGGCGTTGTCGACAATGGATTATCGACTGTGGAAGCCGATATTGTGTTTCGACAGTCGATGGCAGAGTGAGAGTAGGGTGAAGGCGTGAGGAACTGTGTTCCAGTGAGTGTATTGTTGAAAGAGACTCGTGGGGTGGTCCAAGCATCATGGTGTGGGGTGCAATCGGTCTGAACCAGATAGTTTGCGCCGTGGTGTTCCACAATCTCGGTCCAGGATGAGGAAATGACGTAACAGCTGCTCGCTATACTGACCAAGTCATAAGACCCCACGTTGTACCACATGTTGGACGTTACAGAAATCACATCTTCCAGCAAGACAACGCTCGTGCCCACACTACCAGAGTAACATTTGACTTCCTAAGAAAACATGGCATCCAAACCCTACAATAGCCTGCACTCAGTCTTGATTTGGGTCCAATAGAACACCTTTGGGACGAGATTCAAAGAAGACTGAATGACCTCCACCAAAGGTCGACAACCGCTGCTGGACTCGATCAGGCATTTCACACAGTATGGACCCAAGTGCCTATGGCCTCCATCAACCGGCTAATTCATTCCATGTACAGACGATGCAAAGGTTTCATCGATGCCCATAGAGGCCACACACAATACTGACTTTGGGGTATCTTAATGGTACCATTTTTGGTGATTTTGTTTGTGTGAACTCCTTCTCTGATTCCCGAAAATTTGTTAACTACAACTGTCAAGTTTGAACTCAATCCTCCCTTTTGATTGTTAATTAGAGTGAATTAAAGTGTGTGCTTTAAGAAACCGCTATTTCTTTTGTGGTTCAGTATATTTAATCCAAGCCTGACCATCCAATCCAGGCTTGACCATCTAATCCAATCATGACCATCTGATCCAGGCTTGACCATTTGATCCAGGCTTGACCATCTCATCCAGGTTTAACCGATCCAAGCTTGAACATCTGATCCAAGCTTTACCATCCAGGGCGAACTGAAACCAATTTTCCCCAAACCCTAGGTATATGTTCTATTCTGAGGGTTGCATCTATAGTTAGCCTCTACCCAATGCTTAAGTCATTTCCGGGCAATACTTCCTGAAACCATTGGCCTTTGCCCCCCCTTGACTTTGACCGTCATTGACCTGAGCTCTGATGGCACAGTGAGTTGGTGCCGAAAGGTCATTATACGGCTTGATTTCCTGTCCAGCATCCGTGTGACTACCGGTAGCCATCACGCTTGTCATTATAATTTATAGACTTCGTGGGACAAGTGGGGCACAGGATGGTTATGTACACATGGTCAAGTATCTACTGGACTTGATTCAGTAGTTAACATAATGTGATTACATGAATTATTTCCTTCCCGATTTGCACTTGGAGACACTATCATCGATAACATCTTCAATAAGAACTCTCATATCTTCAATGAATAATCTTTTAAAGATATCTTTAGGCGCGTTGTCATTTTCCGCGAAGAGAATGTGGGTGGGTGGGTATTCGACAAGAATGACTTCTAATACTAATTGTAATTGCTGTGGTTTCAGTTAGGACTCATACGTTGTGTCTACTTAGACAAGGGACGTACGAAATTTGCCTCCAACAATACATGGGTACCCGAGGGATGAAATTGTGACTGTAAATGACTCTAGCGCATGAGAGGTCGGTAGGTCGAGTTGTATACGTCTCAGGGAGCTGAAGATGAAACTGAAGTTGACGCTGAGCTACACTTAGTTTAATAATATCGCACCACAAACATGCTCTTGGTGAATATAATGATGTACCATTTGGTCAAGTGAGTGAGTTTACTTTTACGCCGCACTCAGCAATATTCCAGCTATATAGCGGCGGTCTGTAAATAATCGAGTCTGGACCAGACAATCCAGTGATCAACAGCATGACCAT